GATTTATTGCATTTCAGGTTTTTTACTGCCAAACGAATTGGAATTGCTCAAAAAAGTTGATATAAAGTATAATAAATATTTTGTCCCATTCAACTGGGTGTTCGCAATGATCTATAGGCTCAGAAAGACTGGTAAAATCGATGCAGACGTTTTGATGAACTCCATGCTTCAGGTGCTTATCACTGAGTTTAATGAACTAAATGTTAAATTTAAACAAAGGCTGCTGGTCATTGACAGAAACTGAAAACGCCTGTTCAGTCGATAACCGAATTTCAGTGGCCACTGACCGAAATCGACCGATGCTCAAGAATTGACTTGTCGGTGGCCATCGATAAGACATTCCGTGATCGGAAAAGTTTCGCCGAGTGCCAATTCCGCAGTGGTGGTAGTAGCACAGAGAAACAAGTCCATAACTTCCTAGTTTATAAGAGAGCCTCGTAGGGAGTTGGTGTTGGACATAGAAATGACGTGTTCAAATGAAGTATTTTTCAACTTTCGACGTAACCGCTTCCATGCATTTTCTGATTGATACGCAGAGTTTTTTAACGAGAAAAATGTGTTTTGCTCGCCTGGTGGCATGGACTAAATAGTGCATCAAGCAAAGTATGATGTTGACGACGTCGAATTGAGCAGAATTATTCAAATGTGACCAATGAAAGCGCTGACATTTTGAAGAGAAGTCGTCTATTACAACTTCTAAATTCATGTTCACAGGAATTATGAAATGGTGTATGAAAGTATCTGTGGAGGAAATGCTATTTTCCATCATCCTTATGACAACTCTCAACAAATTTTGCAGGAAATTCGTTTATTCCGAACAAATCTCGCCGAACTGTGCAATTACGATTGGGTACCGGTGCCGTTGGCTTATCCACAGGTATGATTCAAGGACTTAATTGTTGCAGTTATCGACTTCATTAAGTGACGATCGTATCATGTTGTTATACAACTGCGAAATTAGTTGAGCATCTCGAAATATTACCATTTTGGTTGGTAGTATTTATTTTGGCTCTGTTTATATTTTGGTCGAAATTTTGGCTCTGTTTCCTGTGTTCTGGTAAAAAATGGACCACAAAAATATTTCTTTTTCAGGTGGTATTTCTCGCAGTCCGTGTTTATTTCATCATTTGCCTCGTAGCACGTCAGTATATTATTGGTGATCAGGCAGCCAATAAATCACCGGTAATTTTGTTTAGTTGAACCCCATTCAAGTGTTTTGAATCGATTCACAAATATAATTTTGAATGAATCCAAAAACGCTCATTGTTGCACAGTGGGAATCACTGACACTTTAAGTGTACTCCGGAGTTCATAATGATTGGATGAAGTGAAACGTAAGGGCACAGTCCTNGGGGTCAGGTTTCGAAAAGATTTTTGGGACTTAAGAACAGGTAAACCAAAAGATACTAATGATCACCTTAAATTGTTCGAAAGTGCATTTATTTCTAACGTTACTTTACATTTCTTCTCTGTTCATCTTCGACAGCAAAAATGCCCTATTAAATGATAATTGAATTAATCTTTATTACAAAAAAGTGCAAAGACACTCAAAGGTGTATCATTTTTGATTCACTTATTGAAAATGTGAAATAAACTCTTGATCTTTCAATAATTGAAATTGATTAAGAAGAAATAATACTCTCAGTTGATTGCTGGCTTGAAGATGAAACGGAATTGATTGTTTATCAGAGGAGAGTACTTCAAACCTGAAATTAAACGATACATTGAAAATGCAAAACCCCAAATTGTTTTGTGTTGCTTTTATCAAATTCTGCCAAATTGAGTGAGCATTCCAGAGCACTCACTTGAAGAGCGCGATAGTTGTTCATTATTCATGTCAGATTGATCTGCGCGTTCCGTTTATGACGATGCTTCAATTCGTTTTCTATATGGGATGGGTGAAAGTGGCTGAATCACTGCTTAATCCGATGGGCGAAGACGATGACGATTTCGAAGTGAACTTCCTCATCGATAAAAATATCGCTGTTAGCTGATTCATATTATTGCTTCAGAATTAAATGTTTCACGAAAAATGAATGCGGATTTGCAGTTCGTTGATTGAGAATTCAGTTAGTCAACGGAGGAGAAACAGCTCGCAGATGAATTCGAAATGTGAAAAATTCAAGAATTTGAGCGTAACATTGAGTGCAATGCAATGCTCACAAAACTGGAGCGAATTTCAGACAGCACTTCGAATTGTGGACGAAGGATATAATTCATATCCTGACCAAAAGATAGATCCGTTTATGTGTGTAAACGAGCCATTATACTCCACTGCAACTGCACATCGTCCTGTTGGTGAACTTGTTGGTTCGGTTGCTGCAGTGAAGTTAGTTGACATTTCAAAAAACTTAATATTAAATCAATTTGGCTTACAAAACATTGTTCACCTCGTGGAAATACTTTTTCATTTGCGACTTTTTTGTATGTAAATAGGCGAAATAGAGTGTTTTTCCCTATTTCTAGTTATTATTGGCTTTGCTGTGAGCTTGAGCGACAACTGAAGGACGATTCCACTTTAGTTCTTTCATCATTTCAGTCTCGCAGAAGAGGGAACAGTTAAGATGGTGCCACACGAACCAGACCATGCAAAAAACGATCAGTCAGCAGCAAACCATAGTTCACTTCATCTACGCAATACAGCTGCACACAGGTTAAGAGAAAGACTTGGACGGATATCACTTCGAAGGTAAAGTGCACTCTGATTTATATTAAACTTGTTTCTGGTACCTATTCAATTGACGAAAGCACATATGTTATAAAAATTAGTTTCAACTAGGAAAAAGTTTGAAAGTTAGATTCATTGAAGTATTTTGCGATGCTCCATATCTTAACCAAAGAAAACAATAATCCTGAATGATACGAGTCGGTCTGCTGAACTGTTTGCACTAATGGAATGTTCACCGAAAGCTGAACGAAGATAACAGCATACATGTTTTCCTACTATTAAACCATTGAGTGAACTGTTCCTAGACCAAGAGCTAAATCATGTCGTCCCACCATGGTGGACGGACCGATCAATGCTGGCGAACCCGTAAAAAAGAGGTCAAAATCAATTTTCACCACAACCCCTGTCTCTCCAGGTTTTCTCTTAATCAATTCACGTTCTTCCCAGGTTTTACCATGAAGCAAAAGCATTTGTTCCAACCAGTTTAATCATTTCATGGAAATATCTCGCAACCTGCAGCATGAAATTGCTTTGATAGTTTCACAGCCCAACCAAAAAGCAATTGTAAAAGATCAACATCACCATCGAGCATTCAAATTTATTCTGTTGACATCAAATTGCCACAAATTTGTAAAAGGAACTGTTTGAACAAAATTTTCAGTTGGAGAATTCGCACGTCAATGGTCAGTACCACCGTCAACGAAGTTCGAAACAGTGGGTGAATTAGATGAGGAAAAAGAGGAAAGAAGCAACGTTTGATGGTTGTTCTCCTTCATTCCACAAATGAGCAACTCAGTGCCCGTGAAGTTCGGTTGAACTCAATTGTTTCCTGTCGTTCTACGCAGTTTTGCAGTGAAATTTGCAACGGTACACAAGGACTTATTGGAGCCTCGTTGCAATTGCGGCCAAAGAAGGATGTTGCTTTACATGGCTCCAAACTGTAAATTAATATTTATTGTCAATTACTGAGTCAGCCGATGTCGGCTATGGATAATGGAATCTCATTCGATTTCAGCTTTTATTTATTAGATCTTATTAAATCGTTGAAATAACACCTACCTTGCAAAGCATCTCTCTAAGTGAATTGATGGTGATTGCATTATAAATACTTCTCGTGAATGAGGTAATAAACACTATTTTAGTTACACATTTATTGTGAATTTTGTATAAATTTATCAGCGTTCGTTAGTTCCTGCTGCCCAATAGAGCAAACCCACACGAAAGTGCGAAATAGTACAAGACTAAATCTGAAACGATTCCTGATGAAACGAAGTGCTGCAAAATTCGCTGTCCGGTGTTTCTTAAGCCTTGATCTTTTCACCGGATTGTCTTGATCACTTGATCATTTCGATTTGCGTGAGGGAAGATGGACAACTCATGACGAGACGTACTCAAGTCATCTGCAAACTTTTCGTCGACGCCCTAATGCATGTGAATTATGAAAGCAGTTCACTGTGGAAATCTGGTTTATTGAAAACTGCAAGTGAAGGATATTTATTTATACTCAGTTTTCGACTTCGTGCAAGGGGAACGACGTTGAAGAAATGGCCATCCAAAACAAAATATGATGATCAGAAACGATGTGCTGTTGTCTTCGCTTACGATTTTTAAGTTCTATCCACTATGCTTCCAAACATATTTTTCAGTACATAATGCTTAAAATATTTTCACTTTGAATTACACGTATTCGACTTCATGCGATCGTTCAGTTCAACTCGCAGTCAGTGGCGTAGCCAAAGTTTTGGGGAGATGGGGGGGGGGGGGGGGGGGGGGGGGGGGGAGGAGGTGGTGCAGGAGAAGAGAAAAGAGAGGAGAAACGGGCGAAGGAATTGGCAAAAAAAGAAGAGGAAAATAAAAGAGGAGATGGAGAAGGGGGAATAAATAAACTTAAATAAACATATGGCAAAATTCAATAGACCAGACCATTTTGCATTGTCATCCTTTGGATAAAATTCTAGCTATGCCACTGCTCGCAAGGTTAATATATGCAGAAAGGATTGAAAATATTCGTTGATTTAAAGCGTCATTGGTGTTCTTGATGACTGTGGGTTATTCAGTTATGTTCAACAGAATTTCATTATTTTGATGCAATAAAATACTTCTTTGTTCGCAGTGTTCTGATTTGTGAAATACGTTGTCGAATATACGTGCAGTATGTTATCAATCTTGTTTACGTGATGCAATGCAACTGAAACTCATGATGTTTAGAGAAGATAATCATTGCCTATGAAATATCGTAGCTAATTGTGTGAGTGAGCGATTTCTTTGCCACGCCAAGAACCCAAGGACTTGGTGAATGATTTTTGAACGCTTTGAAGAAACCAAAAAAAAACAAGAATTACTTTCGGCGATCAGGACTATCCACACATTTTGTACGAGTACTCGCTATCATTTTTAAGTGATTCAAAACTTGTTCTCGACTCACCAGAAACATCAGCATACATTCCGTTCTCTTCCAGAATAAACCATCTCTCAAACTACGTGACCGGTCAATCTGTCTATAGACATTTAGCCTAACGACAGTTTGTCTAAAGACACATAGCCTAACGGACAGTCTTCCTAACTGACAGTTTGTCTAACGGACAGTTTCTCTAACTAATAACGCTGAAAAGAAAGCACGAGTTCAATTGGCATGCAACGTTGCCATTTCACTCAACTTACGAAGAACGGTGAAACTTCGAATAAAAAAATTCCGAATTGCAGTTCTTCACTGAATCTTTTCATAATACGTTTAGCAACTGTCGATGATTCAGTTGAAGTCCGTTGTCATTGTTAGCGAAATTCTTGCAGTTGTTGCTATCTGGTGAATGATCAGTTGCACTTTCAATTATTATAACAGTAAAATGTTGATAATAATAATAATAATAATAATAATAATAATAATAATAATA